AATGTAAATTATGTGTACACTGGGAAAGCCGGCATTATTTTACTATGTTATCTATTCTTATGTATTTTACATATTCATTGAGCAGCCAAGTTCTGTGAAATATTTTGTAAGAACTATATGTTATAGAAAGGTGGAAAATCCTTAAAGACTAAGTCCATTTTTCTTATTTCTCATTGAAAATATAACACGTTTTTCTATTTAAATTCAAAATTGGACCAAGGTTTTAGTCACAAAATACATTTTGCTGTCAATTTTCTGTGTATTTTAAAATAAGTTCTATCTGTAAAGAACAGTTTCAACATAATTGAAGAAAAGATTAAATGTATTTGGGGAGAAGGTCATTCCCTCCCCAGTTAATATTTTGTGGAAAAATTAAGCATATACAGTAGAAACCAAACTGAAAGGTATTGCCCACATTAGAATACAAATATTTCATTTTATTCTCATAATAACCAAGACCTCAAATACCACTTTTAGTGACTCATATTAATTTAATTGCAACATTAGCTTTTATAATCATAGATGTAAAAAGACCAGTGTGTTCCAAACATAATTATCTCGCCAGCATCTCATTTCATGAAATTATTAGTTAAGATGAGCGCCTCGGAATGAATTTGTATTTGATTAGTTTCACTTATTTAAGAACACTGAATAATTTAAGGTCTGTTTAAACAGAAGAGGGGTGACAAGAGGGGCATTCATGAGAGTGCTGAATTCTCTTGCACCCCATCCTTTGCAGAGGAACCCCGTGCTCCCTAAACAGAGGCTGACTGTGCATACCTTCTAGGCGTAGCCACATCAACCGTCCCTTCACACTGACCACAGAGGCCACACACAGCTCTCCCGGATTCCTGGGGTTCACAGCTTCAAGCTTCATGTTCTTTGTGAAGCACCGACTGAAAGACGCCTGAAAGAGAAAGAATATCACCCCTGAGCCAGAGGCTCCCAGAGCAGGACACGGGGCACCGAGCTGGCCAACGGAGGAAAAGGACACATGCACACCTGTATCTCTTCTCCGAGACAGGCTTGTTCACCACCACTCCTGAGCAAAGAAGTATGAATTCTCCATCACGTAACTCAGAAGTCTGAACTGTGCCTGGCACACAGTGGGGGCCTAAAGACGGTCCGCTAAAGTGAGGGCACAGATACACTCTCTCACTAAACCCATGTGCACCCTAATTTAATGGAATTTCTATCACACATCGTTTCTTCTGTTCTCCCGTACTCCTTGCTAAAATCATACCTAGGGTGTTAAAGGAGGCAGATGGAGTCTCCATCTGGTATCGTTTTCTTTTAAAGGACATTTAAAGAATGCCCTTTAGCACATACAGTGTGGGTCTGCTGGGGATAAATTCCTTCATTTTAATTTCTCTGAAATTATCTTTGTTTTCCTATTCTTTTTATTTGTCTTTACTTTTCGAATTAACTTTAAATTTTTTTACATGTGGTGGGGGCTGGGGAGATAGCTCAGGCACTAAAGCATTTGTCATGCTCGCAAAAGGACCTGAGTTCAATCCCCAGAACTCACATAAAAAATGCCAGAGTGTGATGACCCTTGCTTGTGATCTGCACACTGGGGAGGCACAGATGGCCAGATCCCTGGAGCTCAACGGCTAGCCAGCCTAAACCAGTTAGAGAGCTCCAGGCCAATGAGACGCTCTAAGGAAAAAAAAAAAAAAAAAAAAAAAGCAGGCACATCTGAGAAATGACACCAGAGGTTGTCCTCAGACCTGTATATACAGTTGTACACATGTGCACATGCAGCCATGCATACAAACATTCACACACATACACATATGTATACAAAAAAATTACATATAGCAAAATTTCTGTTTGGGGTGCCCTAGTCTGTCTGTGAAGGTCGGGCTAGCTGTCGGGCCAATGCACACAGTCTGCAACTGAGGGAAGGCAGCTGACTGCATTCCTTTCTTTTTTCTCTGTACATGTGAGGTGACCTGATTCAGGTTCCTGCCTTGACTGTCCTGTGTCATGGACTGTCACCTGGAATCGCAAGCCAAATTAACCCTTCACTCCCCTAAGCTGCTTTTGGTTGGGATACTTTATCACAGCAACAGAAAGCAAATGAGGACACTTAGTATTACTAACTGCATCTGAGGGTCACTCCTGCAAGAATCAGTAAGGAGTCTGTTCTATTTTGTGACTAAATAGTTAATATATATGCACCACAATTAATCAATCTATTTACCAGTTAAGGAATGTTTGAGCTGTTTTCAAATTTTAGTTTTTGTGAATAAAACTGCTATTAATCCTTCAGGTACACGTTTTTGTGTAATCAGAAATCTATGACTCTATTCAGACTGCTGCCATAACAAAATAGCACAGACTGAGTGATTTAAACTACAGAAATTGATTTTCACAGGCGCTTACAGGCTAGGAGTCCAAATTGAGGCTTTTGCTTGGTTAGTTCCTCCTGAGTCCTCTTTCCTTGGTTCATGGATGGAGATCTAAATATGTTCTCTCCTAAGGTCATCCCTCTATATGTGACCTGCATTCTAACTTCCTCTTCTTATAAGGATGCCAGCCATACATAATTAGGACCTCTTTTTACCGTAATCATTTCTTTAAAGGTCCTCCCTCCAAATATGGGCACAGTTTAAGGTACCATGGGGTTCAGACTTGATCATATGGCTTAGGGGACAAACTAGTTCAATCTTCACACTACATTTTTACTTCTTTGAAAATGCGATTGCTGGATCATATGTCCAACAGACATTTAACTTTTTAAGATGTTTATTTTCCAAAGTACCTACACCACTTTGGCACTGCTACAGTTGTATACGCATGTTTTCGTGGCTATGAATCCTCGATAGCACTGGTATTGCTGGTCTTTCAAACTTTAGTCATTCTAATAGATATCTGGGCGTCCTAGTTTAATTTCTGTTGCTGTGATAAAATAGCCTGATAAAAAAATAACTTGAGGGAGAGAAAGTTTATTTTCCCCCACAATTCCGGCTTGTGGTCCATCATCATAACTGGGAAGTCAGGGAAGCCGAAACTTAAAACAGCA